GCAGAGTGAATATGGGGAGATGAGTGGGATCAAGATTCATGATGTGAAAAACACAAAGAATAAAAAAAATTCCTTTTAAAGGTGGGTGTGGTTGCTCATGTCTTTAATCCAAGCACTCAGAAGGCAGAAGCAAGTGAGTTTAAGGCCAGCCTAGACTACATAATGAGTTCTAGTACAGTCAGGGATGTGTAGAGAGACCCTGCCTTACAAAAAACCAAATAAAATAAATTCCTAAAAAAGAAAAAAGCTAAAAACAAACCCAACAAAGAAGGCAAAAGACCCCTACAATAAAAGCTTTGGAAACACCAGGGAGGTCTGGGGAGGCAGTTTTGTTGGCTGCCACTCGAGCAGCCAGCACTGACCCATCTCCCAGCTTTCCACTTTACCTTTCTGAGAAGACCTTTCAGTGACCTGGAACTTACTGAGTAAGCTAAGCTTCTTGGCCAGTACATTCCACAGATCTGCTTGTTCCCACTTTCCCAGGCTAGGATTTGAAGTACATACCATCATGACCAAATTTTTAATGTTTTTAACCTGGGTTATGGGGCTCAAACCCAGGCTGTCAGATATTGCAGAGGAACCTTGGGTGACTGCAGGCAGCCAGCTGTTTTTGTCATTTCTCATGTTTTGGAAGTTGCTTGCTTGTACTTCTTGCTTACTCCAGTAATATTTTCCTTCTGAGGTCTTTGATGGGGTTGAAGACTGGACATTTGCAGTTATAGTTCTCCTGAATCTTGGCAAGAGACATATTAGGTACAAAACTTTGGACTCTTCAGGAGAAGACAGCTATTGGAGTAATCTCTATAAATGCTCCACTTATAGACTGGACATGTAGAATGTCTGTCTTACTTATTAATTGTTCTTGTTGTATGTAGTTTCCTTTGTCTGTACCTTTCCTTTCTATCTGAACAATAGTTGATAATTGTTTTGTTTGTTTGTTTTTTGTTTTGTTTTTTGAGACAGGGTTTCTTTGTATTGCTTTGGAGCCTGTCAGGGAACTAGCTCTGTAGATCAGGCTGGACTGGAACTCACAGAGATCCACCTGCCTCTGCCTCTTGAGCACTGACACTAAAGGCATGTGCCACCAACGCCCGGCTTAGTTGATAATTCTTATTGCATATAGTTTTATTATGTTAGGTTTATAACCTTTACTTCTCAATTAGACAAAAAGGGAAAAATATAGGATTTCTGTCACCAGTCTGCTAGCCAATAGTGAGGAGCATTTTTTGGCCCAAGGGGCAGAGTTTTTGGTTTAGAGGTGGCAGCTGGTGGCTTGGGTGAAATTGCCATTTTGTGATATTTCTGCACAGATTTTGCTTGATAATGAACAGTAAAGGAGTGCTTTGACCACCCAATTTCAAGGCTCACACCAATTCTTTTTTTGGGGGGTTGGTTTTCTGAAATAAGAGTTGCACTGAAGAACGTGAAGTTGGCTAGATAGGGGGATGGGGAGGGCTTGGGAGGAGTAAGGAAGGAGAAAACTGTGATCAGAATATATTTTATGAGAACAATTTTTTTTTTTTTTTTTGGTTTTTTGAGACAGGGTTTCTCTGTGGTGTTGGAAGCTGTCCTGGAACTAGCTCTTGTAGGCCAGGCTGGTCTTGAACTCACAGAGATCCGCCTGCCTCTGCCTCCTGAGTGCTGGGACTAAAGGCGTGCATTACCACTGCCCGGTGAGAACAATTTTTTTCAATTAAAAAATAAGGTTGTTGAAGGAGGTGTGTCACTAGGGGTGGCCTTTGAAGTTTCAAAAGCCCAGGCCATTCTCACTTAGTCTAAGCTCACTTCCCCTACTTTGCAGATCAAGATGTAAACTCTCTTGTGTTCTTGCCACCACCATGCCCTTGATCCACCATCATGGCTCTAATCCTCTGAAACTGCAAGCCCCAAATTAAATTAACTTTTGGTTATGGAAGTTTATCACAGCGTTAGAAAAGTAACTTGAGAAGAAGTTGGTACCAGGAGTGGGATGTTGCTGTGACAGGCCTGACCATGCTGGCTTTTGGAGGAATGTGGAATACCTTGGGGACATCGGATTAGGAAAATGTTTGAATACTATAAATAGGGTTTAATGGGACATCCTAATAGAAGCTTGAACAACAGTAATGCTGAGGGTAATGTGGACTATGGAAGCCCAACTCAAAAGAGATTTCAGAGAGGAACAAGGTTAGTAACTGGGCAGAGGCCATTCTTGTGATATTTTGGCAAAGAATGTGGCTGCCTTCTGCCCTTGACCCAAGGATCTGCCTCAGACTAAATTTAAAAATAATGAACTAATTTCTTTGGGGAAGGAGATTTCAAAACAGACTAATATTCAAACCCAGGACAAATGGGCTGAGGTGTCTATTAACATATCAAAGCATACTCTGGCCACCAGGCTCTCCCAGCATTCCTCAGTCCCTCCCTGTTTCAGGGTCCTCCTGGCTAGCATACCCTCCCTAATCTCTCCAGCCTTGGGACTGGGCTGCCCTTCCTCCAGGTGCTTTTCCCTGTATGTATTTTGGTCACAACAACCCTTTTTGACCCTCTGCCTTTTTGGTCTCTTGGCCCATACTGCCCCTCTTGGTTTGTGGTCCCTCTATTGCTGTCTCTCTTCCTCTCTCCTCACATGGCCCAGGGCAGTCTGGCCATGTTCACTCTGGACTCCATTGTAGTGAGATATTCACCCCCCACCCCACCCCAACCCCCACCTGTAGCGCTGACCATGCCTGTTTGGGCATAGTCACCGGTCACAGGTTCAGATGTGACCGAGGGTAGGATTAGGTCTGGGGTCAGGACCCAAGTTCGAACTTTTGGTTCTGGTCGGGTTGCAGAGAGCAGCCTGTGTGTATCCTTGGAGCAGGAACTTGAGGCAGTCAACTGTTTCTTGTGTAAGTGCCTTCTCCCTGAATAAAATTATATTAACCTATATTGAGCCTAGCATAGTGAATCTTGATCTGTGTATCCACACTCTCCCAGATGTCTCTGCATTTGCCTGTTTTCTCCCTTATATCTACAATAAAACCTCAATCCCTTAGGAGCAGTCATGTTCTTTTATTTCTTTTTTCATTCAGTTATTAGTAATCACTCTTATGCAGGTCTACAAAGAAAAAAAATAAGTAGGACAAGAAGAAATATGAAATGTACAGTTTGGAGCCAAAAACATTTAATGTTGGAAGCAAAGCTTTTGTGCTCAGAGATGAAGAAATTAAAGAAAGGTCTGCTCCTAAAGGGAGCAAAGGGAAGTGTGCCCTCAGGGCAAGACCCCATCTAACTAAGCTTCCAAAGGCTAGAAGAATTTTCTACTCCTAAAAAGCAACAGCAAAGAAAATCTCGTGCCAGTGTGACTCAAGGGGCCATCCCAAGCAGGCTACAGAATTCAGTAGTGTGACCCATATAGTTCTGACTTTACAATCAAGAAGGATATATGTGTAAAGGGGTCATGGAACCTTCTTCCACAGTTAAGGAGAGCCACTGAGGTCAGGGTCAAGGAGAACCCTGAGATGCCATGTGTAAAGCTGTGACGGTGAACCCTGGATTGCACTGGAGACCCCATAATGTTGGAGATGCCTGAACTGAGGGTTACCTGCCAAGGGGAGCTTCAGACAGGTCCCGAGGGAAGGAAGTATGTTAGTGTGTTGTAAGCAGCAAGGCTGAAGGGTGGAGCCCTCTGAGGCCTCTGACACCAGACATGGAGCTACAGGGTTTGGAGTTTGCCCTTCTAACTTCAGGTTTGCTTTGGTCGTATCGTTCTTCCCTCTGCCCCCACTCTCTTTTTGAATGGTAGTGTATGTTCTCCAACAGTGTATTGGAAATGTGTACTTCGCTTTTTTACTTTGAGTTTATAGGGCATTGCACTAAGAGATTGCCTTGACTCTCCAGAGAAACTTTGAACTTTGGACTTTTAAACAGTTATGACTGTAAAAGACTATGGAACCTTTTACATTGGACTATATGAATTTTGTATTATGATATGGCCACAAGCTTATGGGGGCCCAGGAACAGAATGGAGAGGTTTGAATGAGAACAGCCCATAGGTTTATCTGTTTGAATTTTTTTGTGTGAGCTTTGAGGTTTCAAAAGCCCACACCATTCCCAGTTAGGTCTCTGACTGCCTCCAACTTGAAGATCAAAACACGAGCTCTCAGCTGTTCCTGCCACGGTGCCTTCGCTCCACCATCACCGACTCTAACCCCCTGATATTGTAGGCCTCATATCGAATGCTTTCTTTACGTGTTGCCTTGGTCATGGTGTTTTATCCCATCAATAGAGACACAACTAAGACAACCAATAAAGCTGCTAAGAGCAAACAATGCTGCTCCAGTTGTGAGAAACTGCAACAGGAAACTGTGGGAAGTTAGAAAGTTCCAGTATCACAAACATTTCCTCCCTCTTTTGGCAGTGCTGGAGTTGAGCCCAGAGGCTAACTCACGCTGGCCAACAGCTTTATCACTGAGCTAGATCCTCAGCTTTGATTTACATTATAGATTGCATTTATGTATTCACTTGTAGGGAGTGCAAGAGCCACTCCATATATGTGGCAGTCAAAGCACAGCTGGAGGCTTGATTCTCTGCTTAGGTGTAGTTTCTGGGGATCAGCTTCAGGTGGCAAGGCTTGGCACAAAGAGCCTAACCAGCTGAGCCATCTCCTCAAACCCACCTTTTGACTGTTTTTAAGACAAGTCTTGTTATTATTCAGCTCCCTCTGGCCTCATGTTGGAACTCAAGCTCGTCCTGCCATCATCATCCTTTTGAGCTCTGGAATTACAGATGTGCACTGTCATATCAATTGATATGACTTTACTTAAGTGTCCAGACTAATTCTAGTGTGAACAGACTGATACAGAGATGGAGCTTGCTATCAGTAGTCAGTCTGGTAAAAGTGTCTTTTGAAGTCAAAGTTAACTAAAAACTAAAACTCAGTCAGTTTGGATGTAAAATGTTTTCTTTTCAGACAAACAATTCACCTGGTCATACAAGATTCTGAGAAACTGTGGTCTGTAAACTGATCAGCTACTTACCTCTTTGGCCCGAAGGATCTGTGCTTGCTCAATCTTACTGATGACTGCTTTTACTGATAATGGGATTTCAAGTTTAGAACGCGATGAATTATCATAACCGCTTACAGACTTTCTTTTCATGATGGTGTAATCCTTGAATTCGTTATCTGAATCAGACTCACTATTGATATCACTTTGCCTTTTGGCAAACATTTTGAAAATTTGGGCGACTTGTTTGTATTCCTTCTATTTTTCACAGAATATAGGCAAATGTTAATAAAAATGTCCACTGGGAAGCTGCAAGCCTACTTCAAGAGGTTGTGGCTTACCCTACTTGGACCATCTAGAAGCCTTCTAATGTTAAAGCCTTGATGATGCTATTAATGGGCCTATTGTGACATTATCATTGTCTAGAACATTTAGGAATGCTTGCTCTGTGCAAAGAACTGGGCATTCTATGTGCTGTGATAGTAGAAGGGGGGGGGGGATGAAAGCCTAGATCACAGGAACACTAAAAGTAATAGAAGACATAGTCCTGCATTGATGAACTTAGATTCTAGGTGTTAAAACCCAAGGTCCATTGTTCCCAATGAAACCGTTGACTCTTCTCTTCCTAGGGCTCTGCTACAACACTTTTAAACCTGTTATGGAATAGCTCCAAGCTCCTCCTCTGGCCCTTAACTTTTCTAGCATTTGATAACATAGAAGGTATTTGGAAGAGTATCACAGTTTCCCTTACTATTTTTTTTTCAAAGAGCCTGATGAAGGCTTTGGGATTTCATAGAATCGAAGGGAATATTACAGGTTACTACCTGAGAAGAGGTGTACCTCTTTGGGAAGCTCCAACTGCAGGGGAGATGCTGGGATTACAGGTGTGCATGACCATGCTTGGCCAGATGACTTTAAATAAAGGAAAAAACATTAGAAATTTGAGTTCCCCTTTGTTCTTTCCAGATGTCTGTCTCCTCCTCTATCCTACTTCAGAGGTAACAGCAATCATGAATGTGGTGTACCCATACCTAGTTTATCTTTTCATAGTTTTATGGTATCTTTATGTATTCATAAATTTTATAGTATCATTTGATAGGTTCCCTATACTTTTTAAATTATAGATGTATAATTTAAGCTCTTTCTAAAACTTCCCATATTGAGTCCTTGTTGGAAACATTGCAAAATTATCATCTGTTGAGTCCTTGTAAATTATGAATCTAATACAATTGAGGTGTTTTAGTTCATAGGAAGAGAGAGGCCCGAATCATGATGTAGTTGCTTTTCTTCCCCCCCCCATCCCTTCTATATAGTATTGATGAGTGAATGTAAGGTCACATGCATGCCACACAAGCTCTCTACCACTCCCTTTTATTTTCATTTTTTAGACAGTTCTTGCTAAATTCCAAGATTGGGCTTGAATTAACTCAGTAGCCCAGGCTAGACTTGAATTAAAAAATTTTAAGTTATATATTAATTAGATTGACTGACGTGTGTGTGTGTGTGTGTGTGTGTGTGTGTGTGTGTGTGTGTGTGTGTTGCTTGTGGGTGTCAGTTTTCTCCTATCACGTGCTTCCTGGGGACTCTACTCAGGTTGCCAGGAGAGCCCTCTCACTGGTCAAGGTCTTCAACTTTTGATCTTCCTACCTCACATCCCAGGTAGCTAGAATTATAGGCCTGCTCTCCAGGCCCAGCACTCATTCTCTTTTAAAGGTAATAAACACATACAGACCAAATGAAATGTTTTCTCTTGGAGATGACATTGTCAGCTAGGCGTGGGGACTCATACCTGTAATTTCAGTACTCAGCTCAGGTGCTGAGGCAAGAGGATTGCTGAGAGTTCCGGGTCAATTTACAGAATGCGACCCTATGTTTTTCAAAAGAGAAAAATTGTGACTCCCTACCTACTCTGTTCCCAAATAACTTCCTAACTGGTCTTGTACCATACTGAATCACTGAAGTACAAGATTTGCCATTACGCACTAGCTGCCCATCCTCTCTAGAGCAGAGTCTGATTCTGACTTTTGTGTTTCTCACATTCAGGACAGTCTTCATTAGATCTTCCAGAGGAGCTGACTGGAGTGGGCATTTCCTGAGTGAGGCCCAGAGGACTGTGACTATTAAATCAATTTCACCCTGAAGCCACCTAAAGTAGTCATTACTCCCTCTCTTTCCCCATTAATCATAACTTGGGGATATTTAAGCTTCCTATTTTGTTGTTGTCAAATTATGAAAACCTCAAAACCCTTTTATTTTGCTAAAAGTACAACTTTCCTTTCATTGCTTGTTTACCCTAGGAGGCATCCACAAAGTGCTTTACCTCATGTTGACTCAACTAATTTAACATTATTTCTCTCTCACTCTTGTATTTTTTTTTTCATGTAGCATGCAATTCATCAGCAACTGGAAATGAAGCCTTTTAAAGGCCAGTTTTAAAATCCTTCCCTTCCAATTGAAAAGTATTTGTTGAGATACCCAAACCAAGAAGACCACATCATAGGTTTTTTTTTTGTGTGTGTGTGTGTGAAGAAACTAAAAAAGGCCAAAAAAAAAAAAAAAAAAAAAAAAAAATTAAGATAGACTGTAAGGTACTAACAAAAGACATGAAGAAGAAGGCTGTAGAAGCAGAATCTTTGGGAAAACCTTATGGAAAGAGATGGTTGTTTGACAAATAGGAAAGATACTGATGGCTTTAGAGGTAAGTACTAAAGTTTCTATTCTAGTGAGTTTAATGACTGAGATAAAATAATTAGAGTTTACTGACAAGGAGATTAAGGAGGGTGTAAAATATAAGTATCAGCAATTTAAAGGTGAACAGAGAGTTTGGTATCAATCTAAGGAAGTGAGGAGTTTCTTGAGAAGCAAACCAAAGATTTCATGGATTAAGAATAGAAAGCCTCAGCCAGGAGTTGGTGGCGCTTGCCTTTAATCCCAGCACTCGGGAAGCAGAGGGATCTCTGTGAATTTGAGGCTAACCTGATCTATACAGCAAGTTCCAGGACAGCCAGGGCTAATGTTACTCAGAGAAACCCAGTTTCTGGGGGAAAAAAAAAAAAAGTTAGGTCTGGGCCTGATGGTGCACATTTTTAATCCTAGAACTGGAGCGCAGAGGCAGAGAGATTTCTGAGCTAGAGGCTAGCCTAGTCTATGTAGCAAGTTTCTGGACAACCAGGGTTGTATTGCACAGAGAGACCTTGTGTCAGAAAAAGACAGAGAGATGTGAGACAGGAATGGAGGGAAGGTGGGAGATCTCTCTCTCTCTCTCTCTCTCTCTCACACACACACACACACACACACACACAGAGAGAGAGAGAGAGAGAGAGAGAGAGAGAGAGAGAGAGAATAGAACTGAAAGGTTGGGGCCGGAGAGATGTTTAGTGGTATTTATTTTTAATGGAGGGCTGGAGAGACAGCTCAGTGATTAAGAGCGCTGGCTGCTCTTACAGAGGACTTAGGTCCAATTCTCAACACCTACATGGTTATTTGAAACCATTTCTAGCTCCCGTTCCAGGGTATCTGATGCCCTCTTCTGGCCTGCACCAAACACACATCTGGCTCAGATGTATGCAGTATTTAATAAAAATTTTGGAGGGCTGAGTCGAAGGTCAGCCTGGTCTACAGAGCCAGTTCCAGGACAGGCTCCAAAGCTACAGAGAAACCCTGTCTCTAAAAACAAAACAAAACAAAACAAAAATTTGTGTGTGTATGTGTAGGGGGGGGGTGTTAGGTTTTGAAGGTAAAACAAAAATTGATGAAAATGAAGACCTCACTTTAAGGTGTTTTTTATTAGTATTGATTTTTGTTTTTTGAGACAAAGTTTCTCTGGTAGCCCTGCTGTTTTGAAACTTGCTTTGTAGATCAGGCTGGCCTTGAGACAAGGACAAGTGTCACCACTGACAAGCTTTAAGGTTTTTTTTTTTTTTTTTTTTTTTTTTTTTTATCACTGAATTGGGAAAAATTGAAAAGTATTAAGGCAATTAAAAGTTTTTCCTCCCTTCAGACGTTTCACTGTATAGTGCTACACTGTTACCTAGCAGACATAATTGTTTCAAAAGATGAATGTAGTTGGGCATGGTGGCACAAGCCTTTAATCTCAGCACTGAAGAGACAAAGGCAAACCAATCTCTTTGAGTTCGAGGCCAGTGTGGTCACCTTAAAGAGAGCTCTTGTCTCCATCCAAAAAAAAAAAAAAAAAAAAAAAAAGTAGTAGTTTTGAGGTGGGTGTGGTGCACATGCCTTTGATTCCAGAAATCCAGAGACAGAGGCAGAGTCAGGTAGATCTCTGTGGGTGTGGTGTGGTGTGGTCTACGTATCTATTTCCAGTATAGCCAGGGCTACATAGTAAGACTGTCTCAAAAAAAAAAAAAAAAAAAAAAAAAAAAGACAAAAGACAAAAAGTTTCGAGACTAGAGCAAAGGAGACTGGTAAGGGAAAAATAACTAGCAAAATAACAAAACAACATCTATTTAAAAAGCTTTATAGAATTTTATTTGAATAGGAAAACATCAATAAAAAATCTAGACTAATTAATAGCACAGAACATCATGTTAATAAAGCCCTAATTCCAAGGGGCCTGGGGCTAAATTCTATTAAAGTCGTTTCTAAGGGAATCTAATCTGCTACAGGACTCTTCCAACAAAAATGGTGTTGGTAACAATTTATTCATAGGGTCTCATGCAAAATGCTTAGTACAGTGCCAAGCACGCAGTGTGCATTTAATTTAGTGTATCTTTGCTACTCCCGCAGCTTTCCCTTCCCCCATCTCTACGTTTCTTTTTTTTTTTCTGGGAGTCCGTCCGTTTTCGGCAGGGGCAGGCGTTGAGTAGACGTCGCCCACTATCACCTTTTCATCAAACCTAGATTCTCAACTCCGACAACTGCGTCATCATGAGGCGTGCGGGAGTATGTTTTTGATAAAAGGTAAACATGGGTTTGTGAGTTTTACACTGCACACGGCCGTGCGGCCCGCAGAGTGTCTACGCACACGCCGCACGAACGAGACTTTCGGTTACACCGCCGGAGGAGGTCGAGCTAGAGCCAAGCACGCACGGAGGGGGGCGGCTCCTCTCCCGGAAGCAGTTTTCTCCAGAACCGGAAACAGTTGTTGCTTCAAGGGAGGCGGGACTGGGCGGGTCAGGGCGCAGCGGCTGACGGCGGGGGAGGAGCCGGGTCCACTGCCGGGTGGAGGGACAAGGCGAGTGTCCTTATCCTACCGATTGGGGCCCGGGCCTGTGAGCCAGTTGGGAGTCGCGGCAGCGTGAACGATCGGGCCGAGAGGAAGCAGACATGTTGCTGTTTGTGGAGGTGAGTGGCTGGGGTCGTCCGGTCTGGCTCTGAGAAGAGCTCCAGTGTTGGGGGCGCGGGCCGGTCCCACCGCCATGTGACTTTCCAGGCCGTACACGCCGCGGAACCCGCCGAGAGGCTGACACAGCACCTGGGCCGTGCAGGCCTGCAGCCCTGCCGTGCGCTCCGCACACTTGAGGAGGCCAGGCGTGGGAACCGCGGCCCGCGGCGGCGGGGAAGGGGAAGGGGAGGTGGTGTGCCGGGGGACTCGGCTGAGGTGGCGTGAGGAGCCGAGGGAGAGCCGAGTGTCCCATATGGAGCTCCTGGAGGAGGCGAACGGGCGGGGGCGGGGGGCGGAGTCTACGGAGAAAGGGTGATCAGGTGGGCGCGCTCCGGGGTGAAGGAGGCCTCGCGGGGCCGTCTGGGACGCGGCGAGCAACATGTGGGACCGCGGGAGAGCGTGAGACGCGCGTGTCGTGGGTTTCGTTTTGTTAATGGGGGGGGGCGCTTTTGGGAAGACCCCGTCCCTCGAGCTTGACCAAAACTGTGTTCGGTCTGGGTCACTGGCTCTGGAACGTTCGGGGGTGGGGGCTGAAGGCGAGTCGGTGGGAACGGCGAAGCCCTCCAGGGGTCGGAAACCCTTTTGAAAGGCACCGCTCTGACCTTTTGTAAAAGTTACTCCGGCTGCGGCTGCGTGGTGCGGCTTGATTCCGCGAACCTGTTTTTTTTTTTTTTTTTTTTTTTTTTAAAGAAGCTGTTTACCAGGAAAATTACAAGAAGGAGCGAAACTTAGGGAAAGCCGGGTTTTTGTGGTGGTGTTGGATCAATGAGAATGTTTTGTTTTCGCTGGACCGTCTACCCGTCCGCCTATCTGAGATTTCAAGGTAGTGATTACCTACCTGCCTGAAATAATGAAGTATAATTTCTCTCATTTCTGTCCTGTTGTGTTCAGTGAGCATCAGCTGACTGCCTGGCAAATGCTTTGAGTAGATTCCAGATCATATTGTTCTTACATTGTGAAAACGTCAATCCAGCAAAGTGCAACTTTGCAACTTGGCATTTGTTAACTATGCCCATAAAAAGAATCTTTTCATGAGGGACGGAATCACAGGTTGTTTAATGGACTTGGAAGCTGGGGCCAACTTAAAGGAGGGAGTGAGTGTGTTCTGAGGTGGAGGGTGGATCTCATTCCTTAGTCTGGCATAAAATAAATAAGCGATTTTATTTGTTTTTACTTTCATTGTGTATATTCGTTTTACATGGTACTGTTGCATAAGGGCATTTTTACACAAGTGTATGTTGTATATTAAGCAAATTCCTACTCATATCCCCTAAACCCTCCCCTTTTCTCCTATGCTATTCTGCCTTTTACATTCCCTTGAAGTTTATGTAGCCGTTAAGTTTGGGATTCTTAAATTAGACGTTAAAGATACTTAATTAGTGTATATCCAAGGCTACTGATATATATTAATTTGCATATTTGAAGCTGACCACTAAAAGTTTTGAAATTAGTGGACTTGCTTTTCTATTTTTTCTTTGAAATTTAAATGAACCTTGTTTTCCTTTAATAGAATAAGAAATCGGGTTTTATTTTTAGGAATTATTGTGCTGTTCACATATTGCAATTGTGGCTGGGTGTGTTTTTGGTTCTTCAAGATAGTGTTTCTCTGTGTAGTCCTGGCTGTCCTTGAACTCACTCTGTAGACCAGCCTGGCCTTAAACTCAGAGATCCGCCTGCCTCTGCCTCTAGAGTGCTGGGATTAAAGATAGATGTTCCCCACCACTGCCCGGCTGTGTTGCAGGTTTTAAGGGGACAGAAATCGAGAGACAGAGCAAAGTAGACAAAAGATTGTGAAGTTCATTTTGTCTATATAATATAGTTTCCAAAATAAATTGAGTTTCAAGTTGATTTGACTTTATTAAATATAAACTTTACTAGTAGGTACGTTATTTTGTGTTTTTGCTAGGCCCTCACCTGTCTCTCAAACAACATTGCAGTGTTTTTACAGTTGAGGGAACAAGTTGAGAGGTTAAAGAACTTAGTTAAGACTAACAGTAGAAAGAATTTAGATTCAAGCCACCCATATTTCCCAGTTTGTAGTACCTGCCTCTGCCTCCCAAATTGCTGGGACTAAAGGTGTTTATCTCTACACATGGCTCAGTTAATGAATATTGAGGTTGGATTATTACTATGTTTTTCACTAAATAACTATGTAAATTTAATTGTTCCCGTTAGTCATTTTTTTTGACAACTTCAGTTTCTTTTTTTTCTCATGCAGTGTATTGAAAATTGATGTCTTGAAATATTAAGGACTTAATATACTATTAAAACTAATCAGAAGCATGACATTGGTCATTTGGAATTTTAAAAAAAAATATGGTATTTGATTCATAGGGGAGAGAGTATACAAAACCCCTCTCCCCCAGGGTCTTGAACTCTGTAGGTATGTGCTGTACTACTTACACCCAACCCCTAGTATTGATTCTTAAAACCTCATGCTACAGAAATTCTCAACAAGGGACCAAAGCTCTGAAGTTCTAGCTGGACTGTAGATGGAAAAGAATTGAAAATTCTAAGTCATAGTGGAGGCAGTCACATTTTCCTATCTTATTGCAATTTTGCAGATAATTTGAAGCATTATTTATACTCATTACTTCTTGATATGCTAAAAATTAGTGTGTTAATAAAACTTACTTGTTGCCTGAGTGTTGGTGGCCCACAACTTTAATTCCAACACGTGGGAGACAGAGGCAGGTGGATCTCAGGACAGCCAGGACTATACAGACAAACCCTGTCTTGAAAAATAAACAAAAACCTTTAATTTGTCTACTATATTAACAATTTTAAGATGTTGTGATAACTACTATTCAATATAGTTGCTTTGTGATTATACACACACACGCACATATATACACACACATACATTTGTTTTTTTTGTTTTTTGTTTTGGTTTTTTTTTTTTTTTTTTTTTGAGGCAGGGTTTCTTTGTGTAGCCTGGCTGCTCTGGAACTGTTCTGATGCTGGCATTAAAGTAGTGCCTTACCACCACCCAGCCTTTTTTGTTTTGCTTTGTTTTGTTTTAAATGATTTAGATCAACAGTAAGTTGGGCAGTGGTGGCACAAGCTTTTAACCCCAGCACTCCAGAGGCAGAAGCAGGTGATCTCTGAGCTTGAGGCCAGCCTGATCTACAGATGGAGTTCCTGGACAGCCAGGACTGCACAGGGAAACCTTGTTTCTGAATTGTAGGATGTTTGCTCTATACCCCTTAACTCCCCCACCCTGCTACTAATGATTGAACTCAGGGCCCTGTGGGTGTAGCACTCTACCACTTGGTATCTCAGCCCTAGACTTTTTTTCCTTCATTATGCAGCTGCCCTGGCTGGACTTGCTCTTCCTGCCTCTGCCTCCCAGGCGATGGGATTAAAGGCATGCACTCCCACCACTGTTGCTGTACAGCTTTTCTGAAGTAGGTTCTCTCCTTCCACTATATGGGCTCCAGGGCTCAAACTCAGCTTGTCAGGCTTAATAGCAAGTGCCTTTACCCATTCAGCCATTTATTTTGCTGGTCCTTCATTGGTATTTTTTTAAGGCCATTCACATTATAATGTAACATCACCACATCTACTTTCAGAATTTTTTCATCAGATCTTGTGAAATTGAAACTTGGTGCGTTGGCTCATTGATTATGAGTGCTTGCTGCTTTTCCAGGGGACCCAGGTTTAGTTCCCAGTACCCAGTGATCTGGCTGGTCACAATTCTAGCACCAAAGGATCTAATGCCCTCTGCTGGCCTCTGAGGGTACAGAGACATTATACATAAATTAAATATATATATATTTAATAAGGAAATCCTGAACCCATTAAAAAAAAATCTCACCGGTTGGTTGTGGCATACACCTTTAATCCTAATGCTGGGGAGGCAGAGGCAGGTGGATCTCTTTGGGTTTGAGGCCAGCTTGGTCTTAGAGTGAGTTCTATGACAGGTTCCCAAGCTACACAGAGAAACCATGTCTCAAAAAAAACCAAAAAATAAAAACAACAAATTCTCATTTCCCTTTTGCCTCAGATCTTACAAAATTTGAAATATTATCACCTTTTTCTAACTGTGTTTAATACTTTTTTTAGATTATTAACATTATATATGCTGTGATGGGCAACACCTTTAATCACAGCAGGCAGATCTCTGGCTTTGAGGCCAGCATGTTCTACACAGTGAGTATCAGGCCTACACAGAGAGACACTTTTTCAAAACTAAGCTAAAAGAAGGTGTTCAATGACTTTCTCTTATGCTAACTAACTAAAGGTGATATTATGCGTTTTGTGCCAAATTCAGTACTTATTTTCTTCTTTAGTTTTACTTAGAGTTGCTTGATATCATTGAAGAGTGTGTGTGTACTTTTTTGCAGGTTTTATATTTTTTAACCTCACTCCCTAAGTATTCATTTGTATATATTGTATGTGTGTACGTGTGTGTGCCATGAAAGCCATGATGGATTTTAGATGTTTTTCTTAATTGCTTTTCACTTATTTTTTGAGATAGGTTTCTCACTGAACCCATAGCTCACCAATTTGATTATGTTGGCTGGCTAGCCAGTTCCTGGTATCCTCCCTAGAACTGGCCCCTCACCCATAGCATTTATTTGTGTGTTTGTGTATATTCATATATTTACATTTCCTGCTTTGTGTCATGACACATTTGTAGAGGTCATTCCTATTCCATCATGTGTTTTGGGGATTCGTCTAAGGTTTTTAGGCAGCTTTACCTGCCAAGTTATCTCACCAGCTCTTTTTTTTTTTTTTTTTTCCCCTCCCTCTTTTTCCTTTTAAGACAGGATCTCATTCACTATGATGCAGTTTGATGGCCTGGGTGGTAGACCAGCGTGGCTTTGAATTCACAGATCCTTCTGTCTCTGCTTCCAGAGTTCTGGGATTAGTAGCATGAACTACCATGTTATCCCATTTTGTTTGTTTATTTGTAGTTCTAGCTGTTCTAGAGCTTGTTCTGTAGTCCATGCTGGAC